CCTGCAAGACGTGAAGATTTTTTTTAAGTATATCTGGCTTAAAAAAGCTTCCTGTGAAGTTCTGCTTTTACTGATGGTTGCAAAATGTCCCAGCAGTTGAAAGAGCCATTGAAATATGGGATGACATTAAAAAAGTTGAAATGGGGAAGTTTTAAAAAAATTCATCAAAATACTTCTCAAATATTTTGGAGGCAACTAAAGATAAAACATTTCTTATAAAATTAAATTTTTTCCCCTCTCCGTCAAAAATATTATTGCTTTTCCTTGAATATTATCAAAGCGATAAACCACTTATTCCCTTTTTTGCTGAAGATATCTTAAAACTTGTAAATGATAGCCTTCAACACTTTTTGAAACTAGAATATTAAAAAAATAACTAAAGCAGAAAATCTTTATAAATTTAATTTTAATGATCCAAATTGTTATAATGATAAAAGTAAATTTATTTGGGATTCATTGCTGAGCAGTTAATGAATGATAAATGCCACAAGAAGGACATTTCACAAGCTGAAAGTTTTGCATTGAAACAAGAAGGTCAACAATGTGTCTGAACACTTAATGTCTAAATGTCCAATAAATTATTCTCTTATTCGAAATGCATCTTGTATAGACCCGCGATTGATGGTTAAAAGTCCAGAAAAAGCCCAGAACAAAATGAAAATAGTTCTAACGGTATTAATGCAGAATAAACGTGTTTTACAAGATGATTGGGATGAAATTCTGCTGCAGTTTGGAGAGTTTCTAGACAAAGTAGTTAAGACAAATTTACATGAATTTTCTACTTTTGATCCTCAAAATCTTTCTCTTGACACATTTCTCACTTCTTATTTTCATGATTTTCACTATTCAAAAGTATGGAAAATAGTGAAAATGATTCTTATCTTGTCACATGGACAGGCCTCTGTGGAAAGGGGCTTCTCTGTAAATAAAGCAATTGAAATTGAAAATTTAAGTGACTCATCATACATTTTTCAACGCACAGTATTTGATTACATAAAATTTTCTGGAGGTGTTCTTAATATCGAAATTAATAAAGAAATGAGATCAGCAGCAGCTTCTGCAAGGTCTAAATATATGCAGTATTTAGGAAGAACAAAAATCTTTAACTAAATCTGAAAATTCAAAGAGGAAAAGAAATATTATTGAGGAAGAAATTGATTATATGAAGCAGAAAAAAAAATTTCTTCAAAGGGACATTAAAGATATTAATGAAGAAGTAGATGCTTTAGCAGATGAAGCCTGAGACCAGCATGAACATTGATTTGTTTATCAAAGCAAATGAACTTAGAAGAATAGTTAAAGAAAAGGAAATAGACATAAATAAATTAGATGTTAAAATAGCTGAAAAGATTTCAGATTTAAAAAAAGCATAAATGTTGTGTATCTTTTATTGTACAGTTTATTATTCTAGTATCTTTCAAAAAACCAAGGAAATAAATTGTATGTTTACAAATCTGTTATTTTAATCTGCAAAATATTCTTACATTGTGATTATAATAGTAGTTGACTGTGTTTAAATAAATATCAAATAAGTTAAATAATAATCATGTAAATCTCTAAAATATCTGTTACTGTTATTAGTGTAAAATACACTTATACATGTTTTTCAAGAAATTATGTTCCTAATTTAATGTTATCTACTTCATAACTTGTAGGGAGTTAGTTTAATTTTCAAAATTGTTTTATGGTAAGTTGTAAATTGCATTTAATAATAGTGCATAATACACACTTCTGTTAGTTTCTTAAAGTGAAATTACAAGCATGAAGTCGGTTGTATGGATAATTGCTTTATTCTATTTGTTTTTTTGTTTGCTGATAGGTCCTTAATTTTTTCTTTGATGGTCCTTAAAGGTCCTTCATTTTCATGTAAGGAAATGTGTACGAACCCTGTACAAACAATTCAGGGGCCCACCAGCGGCCGAGCGGTAAAGTCGCTAAACACTGGTAGTTCGGTCCGAGGTTCGAATCCCGCAAATGGGCTGGCTGCATGGGCGTTTTCATGGTTTTTCCTCATGTGTAACGTGTATACGAGCCAGTTTCCCTTAGAAATGCCTTCACGAAGGCATCCCTTCCCTTAGGCAGATAGCCCTCGTGTGCTTTGCCATAATTAAATACACCAACTACAAACAATTCGGTTCATGAACAAATTATTTGAACAAAAAATGCCTTGGATGATGAATGATGTCTGAAGTTATGAATACTTAAATTGGTAGCATATGATTTTTAAAGGTGTTTTGAGGTGACCTTTGCCAAATACAGTACAAAGTCTGTAATCCGAACTTGTCAACTTGCAATAATGACCATTGCACCCTTAGTGATGCACCACGCTGAAACTTTTAAAACTATGTAAACAGTATGTATCCAATTGGTTACACTATGCAATAAGCTAAAGTTTGTGTTTTGATTTGATTTACGTGACTAAATATGAGTATGTTGCCAAGTGCCAACTACATGCAATTAAGGGTTAAATTCCTATTACAAGGTTATATAGTACAAAGTCCATAATTCGGACTCGTTGGGACTTTAGCGATTCCGGATTAGGTTTTTTTCCGGATTATAGATCATCAATTTAAATCTGGTAAGATGGCATGCAGAAATTATACAATTAAAAATATGAAACCGTAATTTATGAAATAAAGAGCAATTATGATCTAAAGGGTATCAAAATTTACAAAAAAAAGCTTAATATTTATTTGTTTACTTTATTAAACATTTCTTTCGATGCAAGTTGTTTAGGATGCTTCCACAAAAAATTCAAAAAATGATACATTACGCACATATGTAAAGCATACCAAAAAACGTTTGTGGCTTTGAGGTCCGGATTATACATCATTCCGGATAATGGACGTCCGAATTACGGTTTTTGTACTGTAATTAACATTTGAAGGCTTCTGGAAACATCATTTTAATATTTTCACTTGTTTAGTAAAGCCTGGCAGCAAGTGACTTCCAAGACCATGAATTTGACTTTTGAAAAGAAAATATGAACAAATTGGGTAATAGACAGAGATTTTTAAGCATTCAGAAAATTTAGGACATTTTATGTTATCTGTAATATTGTGTCTCTAGACAAAATCATGGCTATTAACAATGGAGACATGAAGAAATTATAGGAACACAAAAATGATCCTAGTAATAAAAAATTACTACAATTATAGAAGCAGTAACAAAAGGCAATTATGAAAAAATTGTCTTTTGATGAAGAGGAACTATAAAGAATTTTTCTCATTCTCTGATCCACAAAATTTGTGAAAATTGAAGTAAGATTCTAAGTTTTATATAACATTATCATCTTGATAAAGCAGTAGCAAGGTATGGCATAAGCATCTTCAGTAACAATGCCATGCCTTACTTTAAAAACATTTTAAAACATAGGCAACTTTATATCACAAAAAGTTTTGGGCAAAGGTGCCTGTGTATCTGAAGCAGAGTCAAGTGGTGCTTGAAGACAAAGTAAATATAAAAGATGATGTGTCATAAAAGATAGTTATGCTTTGTTTTTGTGAAAGGGAATTTGTCATTGGAAGAATAATATTTCCCTTATCCTTTTCTATTTATACCATTCACTCTTCTTTGCACAAGTACAGCAAAATTAAATTTATTAACCTTTTCGCGATGGCACACCTTTGTTTAAGACGCCGGGACGGAAGAGAATCGAAGGCAGTCACCAAACAGGACGGAGATTTTGCATCGCTAAGCGTAATTTTATAACAAATATCAGAAAAACAAAAGTTTCGCTTCTAGCATCGTAATTTTTGGTATCATTTTAGATTATTACGTGAGCTCTTATATATGTTAAAATTAGCCCTTAAAACACTTTTTTCTTTATTTTACATGAAAAATATACTTAAAAAATTGCTTATCTTCTAAAATAATTTTCGGAAGCGCTATTCAAATTATTCCAAAGTTTTAATTGATAAAATCCATCAATAAAGTTTAAATTAATAAAAAGAACACAATAAAGACTATTTACAGTAAGAAGTAACAAAATTTAAAATCAAAATGAGTGTGGTAAATCTCGAAGCACAGAGAAGTATCATTTTGTAACTCTTAGAAAAAGTATCACTTTTTAACTCTTTAGAAAATGAATCAGTATTCTCATTTGCGTTAGTAAATGGTTCACTAACCATACAAAGGTATTCTTCCTCTGATAAATAGCACCTTCCCGCCATAATAGACTGGAGGTGAGGCTTTCCTAAATAAAAAAAGAAGGAACGGAAATATATCTGAAGGCAATGCAAAACGTAAAAACTCCGCACAGTAACCCTAAAAGACCATACATAGTAGAGGAAAAAATAGAATAAAAAAAGTAATTGGATATAAATCAGATACGAGAATGTTTCATTAGCATGCAGCGATTTAAAGAGCCCACCTCTGTTTACGCTTTCCCTCCGCCCCCCTACCCTCGAACAGCTGATGACTAACATACCAAAGTCAAGCAGAATATATCAAATTCATGGTCAGGAACCTAAAACTGTGTTCATTTCAAAAGTAATGGACACAGGATGCCATCTAGTGGCCTTCAGAAAAACGTTCCACCTTAAAATGCGTATATGCATCACCCGTCCTCTGAATGCTTGCTATCTTTACTGATGCGTGGATTGGACGCCCTGCTGTAAGAGACGTTCTTAGGGAATGCGTATATGGGACGCACATCCTGAAAGGGTTAAACACTGTATAAATCAGATATATTTATTATATCTGATTTATATTGTGTTTGTTTTGTATTTATTGATTTCTGTTCATTTTTGGATATGAACTTATACATAAATAACTGTTCTTAAGTTTAAATATGCAATCATCTTTGGTCCAGGAATGAAATGATCCATTTTACATTAATTCTTATGGGAGAAAATTGTTTCACTTGCGAACATTTTGGTTGACGAATGGAACTTAATACATGTACTGAAGCTTTACTGTATGCATTTGAGAAATTTTATAGTTTATGTCTACATGTATGAAAATTTAATTGTATTTATTTATTTATTTATTTACTTTAGGGCAAAATGGCTCTGTTATTTTTTAACCGCAGTAAGTAATAGGCTTTCTTTTTCTCCCTGTCTTCCTTTCTTTTTTTTCTTTTCTTTTCTTTTTTTTTTTTTTTTTTTTAATGAATGCTATGGTATTTTATGTTTTGCCTGTTGTTGAATCCTGTGATTATAATATGTCTGTGAGAAATTTAAAATTCTTTCAAAATTTAGTAGCACAAGCATCCCAAATTTTCTTATTTTGATTTGTAATTTTTTTCAGCTGGTGTAAATATATTTTATGTGTGCATTGCTGTTTATTTATATGGTGACCTTGCAATATATGCTGCAGCTGTGTCTAAATCTCTTCGAGATGTATCATGGTAAGTTTTAACAATATTTCAAAACTGTCGCTTTTTGGAAATGTGTAATAATTTTCTTTCATTTTTCTTGATATTTGATGTTCCTTAAGCACTTCTTAGCAAACACATCTTTTAATAATACAACTTTGCATGATAAATTTTTGTTATATAATATGATGGCATACTTTCTTTAGTAAATGTAAACAAAAAGAAATTTTATCAAATCTGTCGTGAAACAGTATAAATCTTAAATAATTTATTCAATTTTCAGGCTGAAATAACTTTAATGTGAATCTTGACTTTTATAATATCAAAAGAGTTATTATTTTTTGTATTTGGAGAATAAGATTAAAGTATTACATGAATGATTACCATATGCTTATATGTTTTTGCAATTACATTAATTGTTGCATAAATGGAGGTTAACATTAGCTCCTGTATGAATGCTCATATTGCAAGGAACTGCATTTATATGTCCTATGTTGAAAACTCCATTACTGCCACCATTCATTGCAGGGAAATCTGAAGTACTTTAAAATGGAACTTCTCAGTATCTGGCAAACTCCACCCTGCAAGATGGCTACTAATTAACTTCTTTCTTCCATGATGTGGAGTATTTTGCAGTTTATTTGTACATGTCATTCACACTGCAATTCCAGCACTTTAGAGCCCGTTGTAATTGCCATTCATATTTCACCTTAAGGCAGTTACTTGCCTGGGTAAATGGTCTAGACGAGCAGTCATTTGAACAACTGCCTTCTGGATATGAGCAGCTGTGACTGGGTGTCAGTTTCTGCAGATTGTTTACTGGACTGCCTCGAATTTCATGGTGTACACGAAAATACTTTTTAGATCCTTGACATTTATCATTTGAAGGGCTTTCTGTATCTCATGATCCCAGATGCTATTGATAAAGTATTGCAGAGACAGGATTTTCCTTGTTTCTGTTGTAAAGTTAAAAACGCAAAATGAGACAGCCTTTCAACATCTGCGGCAGGCTGCTGGAGTTCTTGCTGGGGGACTTTGTTGGCAAGATTTTAACTGAAGATTGCCATTGTCTTTTACACACTTCTCACTAAAGCACAGCTCCAGTGTGATGGATGGAGCTTTGAAGTTTAGCCTTTGGTTTTTGGGCAGAGTTTGAAAGATATGTCTGGATTTGCTCTCGAGAAAAGTAGTGAGACGGGAGACCTTAGTTTGAGAACCCCATCCATTTGCATCTACCACTATAGAGAACCGAATCTTCTACATTTTCGAGGAGGTCTTTCCATCGTATGTGGAGAGTGATATGGAGAGAGTTAAGAAAACATAGCTAAGAATTTAAAGGTGTCAGTATTATTTCCATATGCCACTATGGGTTTCTTCAAGCTGTCAGTTTCCTAGATGACAGCAGTATCTCTGTCATCAATTTGTTGTTCGACAGCAGGAACACTTCAACTTTATTTTCAACTGCTTCTATTCTGCCTTCCATAGCTTTGAATATGTGTTCTATTATGGCAGTAATTTCTCATTTTATTTCTTCTTGACTTGATTTAATCTTCTTTCGTTCTTGCTTCTTGACTTGCTTTATTCTGCCGTCTGTTCTTCTTCAACCTACTGGATGATCCTTTATGGCCCACCTGCACTTTTTTTGATGGATTTGGCCCACTTTCATCTATGCTTTAACAGACTTTCCTTGGAGTGCAGCAAAAGCTGTCATCAACTATTTTAGTCGCTCCTCTGCCGGTCTTGTCACCTGACTTCTGACACCAAAAATTGTTTTGTACATACAGGTTTGTAATGGATTGAATGCTTGCAGAACTGATGAAATTTATTTTCCAAAAGAAAAACTTAGTTCTAGAACTTTTCATGCTTGTACTTTTACAGCTTTTATCAGTGTGATAGAGCACAATCAGTAGTTTCCACTTCAAAATACATCATTTTTCAGAAAAGTTCCAGGGCAAAGGTCATAAAAAATAGAAAAATGCATTTACCAAGTAATGATCCTAGCTGCTATCAAAGTAATCCCCTTGGCTCTCTATACACAACTGCCAACGTTTGTGGAGGTCTTGGAAGCAAGCAGTGAAATCTTCCTACTGTGATGCTTGCAAGCTCATTTGTCACAACCCATTGGATGTTTGTAATAATCTTGATGAAGCTTTTTTTTCCTGCCACTCGAAACAACGACTTCTTGAAAGTTCCTCGGCAGTATATGCTTACTGTATCATGTTCCATATTTGACTAGGGATTTTCTCGAGCTTAATGCAGAACTTAATGTTCACTCTTTGCTCACAATCCATTGTGTCACCTTAATGAATGCGTCAACAATCCAAACAGTTTTGCTAAGCACAGACCTACCACTTAGTAAGTTTGTGTGGAAACATGGCCAAGGTCATGCCAAGTAAGAATACATACCAGGTAACATAAAAGCAACATTTGTTCCTTTTTTAGTACTGCAAACTCAGAAATAGAAACAATGTCCTGGAACTTTTCTGACAAAGGATATATTAAGAACATGAACACAAACGAATGCAAAGCACATCAAAAAGCGAAAGGCTTGCACAGTGATCTCTCAGTATTCTTAACTTAATTCTGTTAACTGTCAATACTTTGAGCTAATCTGAACTCATGCTCTGTCTGGTATTATATATAGTTTTCCCTGTCTGCCAGAGAAATTTCCAGTAGCTTTGGTTTCTGGAAATTGCTGAAAGGCATACACAGTTACAGTTATATAGGGCTGGTTGTGGTTACGGTTACACAGGGATCAGACCAAGATGTCCTCAAATGGTTGCCAAGTTTGGTGACTTTTGGCAATTTCTCTCCAAATTTGGTGACAAAAATTAGTTGCCAAAACCATCACCAGCTTCCCATTAACCATTTACCTCAATGTTAAATTGATTTAACCCTGTACCCCTATTGTTCCAGTGATGCTTGGCATTCTGAAGCTTTTCAGACTACATTGTACAAAAGGTACTGTATTTTACATACAATTTCACCAAAATTATTTACATGTATACAAAATTTATAACACTGTTAATATTCAATGCAATAAGGAAACATGTAAATGCTTATTTAGTGCACAAAAAACAGTGAACTGTACTTCCACTTATTTAAAGTGATAATTAGTGCCACATCCTATTAAACTTCACTCATCACAAATATAAGGATAATGGGAATGGGCACAATGCTAACAATTCTTAAGAAAGTTCTGCAACGTTAATACAGGGTTCGTATGGTCCTTAACAGTCTTTAAAAGTCCTTAAGTTTTTTGGAATAAATTTTTGGTTCTTAAAAGTCCTTAATTTCAGCCAAAATCGGCCAAAGGTTTTTAATTTCAACCATCTGAAATTTTTGTTTTGTTTTGACAACTGCTATTTTGAGTGGGAATTATCATTTTGGAGGAATATTTTTAACGATTCACTGACAAATATAATTATCTTTTGAAGAAGTTATAATTTGTTCCCTTTTCTATTATAAGGGGTGGGTTACTGGAGTTCCTGAGCAAGGATTGAAACATGAGCATTTCAAAATTATTTCATTTTTTCCAATGAAGAGCTCTTAAACAACTTTCTGCTTTTGGGGATGTGAATTCTTTTATTAAACGACTCTAAATTTGGCAACTTAACATTGTGCCAATTTTAAGATCAGTTTCTGTAGAAAATTTTTAATTCGGAGATCTGGGAATTTTTCTAAGATTTTTTTTAAACATTATAATTGATAAATTTAACTAAAATAATGGTAATATATTGAAATTATATTTATGGAATAACATTAAAATAAAACATTTTTATTTTTTTTGCTGTCATAAAGTGACATTACTTTCCATTTTGGTGACTTATACAGTATTTTGAATCTGAAAAATAATGAGGTAATAAATGCTATAAAGCATAGTTTACAAAACAATTCATAGCAAAAGCAAAATAGCTAATTAAAAAAGTAAGTAATTAATTAAAAATTTCTTCCTTTCAATTTTTTCATGGTAAGAATTTTTTCCATGTACATTCTCAGAATATTCAGAATTGTCAGGATATGCATCAATTTCCTCTATAAAATTAATTTTACACTTTTTCCCACTGATTTGTTTTTTCAAAATATTTCTCGCCTTTTTTTTTGTGTGTTCCAGAATTGGTATGACTAATATTTCTTTAGGGTTTTAAACATTGCAACTTGGAAAGTTTAGAAGGATTTGATGGCAAGATTTATAGACCTACAATTCTAGAAAGCTCCAGAAAAATGTGACAAAATTAAAAATGTCTTCATTTTATTAACACATAATGGATGTATTTTGCAGAAAGTTTTTTTTTTATTATTTATTACGTGCTCCGCCCTTAGGCACTACACGGAAAGGGGGGATGCCCAGTGGAGGTCTTTTTAAGGGAAACTGGCTCGTATCCACGTTACACATGGAGAAAACCACGAAAACGCCCATGCAGCCAGCCCGTTCACCGGGACTCGAACCCCGGAACGAACTACCACTGTTCAGCGGCTTTTACCACTCGGCTGCTGGTGGGCTCTTTGCAGAAAGTTTGTGATGAATTTCTTAGATTTTGAGAGGAATTTTGGGAAAGACAATGAAAACATAATGTTTGAATGTTGATAACAGAAGTCTTTTTCTTAACATGTTTATCTTCCTCTATTTTCTCAACTTTTCATTAGACATAAGTATAGAAAATATCAAAAATATTTCTAATTATTTTGCATGGGCAGGCATTTATAAAAAGAATTTTTCTATTAATAAAGAAATTGAAAGCTGATAATGTAAAAGACTCACTTTATATGTCTCAATGGATCATACCCAGGGTTGTTGCTAGATCATACCCAGGGTTGTTCTCTGTGGATCCTAAATTCTTCCGCCTAGTGCCTTCCTGAATTATACTATCTAGGGCTCTCCTTAATTCTGCTCCCAGTGACTGACCTAAATTCTAAATGTTTTGCCATTTCTAGATTTTCTTGCTCAGTGTGTCACTGAATTCCAAAAATTCTGCTCATCAGCTTTGAAACCAGCCCTTATTATGTATCATTTCATATTGTTCATTAATTAA